TCAAGAGAAAGATCTTTTTTCACTTTGAATATAGTAAAAACGTTGTTACGCGCAAGTATCTATGGGCTAAGACAGACGTAATACTTTGGCCCCACTGTCTATTGAGGTTAAACTAGTCCATTTATCAATTAATCAATACATTATAGTTTAATGATTATTATTTATTTTGGTGACACTTATTAAATATTTATATGTATTGTTTAATCATTATACGTCAATAAAATAAATATAATATCTAAACAATGATAATGAATCCATAGAATTTCATCTATGAAAAGGGGCTGCATGTCAGACAATGCTTTCTTGTCCATTTTTTTAGGAGACATCTTAGGTAAATGAACTTCAGATGAAAATATATCTTCAATGACTAGATTCAATCAAATAACGTTCAACATAGTTTTTCTTTTAAAAATCCGAAATCGTCATATATTATAAAAGGAGCGGACACGGAATGGGATAAAACAACTATGCTTGAAGTCACGTGATTCGGGTCGGGTCACTGTGCCGCTTACTTCGTTGTACTCATTACTAAATAATCAGACTCAAGCTTTCGCCAGCATCTAAGTCAAATTGTCCTATCCGTAATTGCATTTCAGTGGCTGGTTATAATTTACCTTCGATGTATCTTTCGCACCCTGTATAATAGACAAAAACTTCAAAGACGAAAATTATAGCCGACGTTCTCTATTAGAAAGAGGTGTAAATCAAATTCCACTTTGTTTGCGGTTCTTTAGTTACGGACAATAATTTACCCCCGAAATAGGCGATTTTTAGGGACTTTTCGTTTTATGCGCGTGACCGAGACACAGAAATTTTGCAAAAAACACTTCCCGCTGACGCGCAGCCTCCGCAAATCACATGGGCGAGTGGACTTTTTTAAACGGAACACCTTATTTTTAAATTTTGTTTTGAATTCCTGAAAAAAACTTTTTTAATAACATTAATAATAATGCATAACTAAACCTAATCTTTTATCCAATATTTTAATTTTTATAAAATAATATTAGTTTTTACGCATGCAAAAAAATACGGTATTAGCGATATTTGAAGATGATAAAAGATAAAAAAACGGAATTTGAATTAGATGCTACATGCTGTGTAAATAAACGACTATATTTAGATGATTTTTAATTGCAAAATCTCGAACTTCCTTAATGGCACACCCATGAATATTATTATTTTTTCTGAAAAATCTATAATTAAATATACCTATTTTTAAAACTTTGCCATTTATTTTAAGTTTTCCAATATTTACTCTTCTTTCTGTCTAAGATTAATATTAGCCATAAAGTATTAGCCAACAGGGCTCTGTTAATATTAAAAATTGAACAGGAGAAATAAGCTTTGTTGAAGCCGCAGGTAAAACAAAAGTTATTTGCAATTTTTTTGGAAATAACGGCCAATTTTTAAATTCACAGAAAAAGTAAATAATATTAAATACATATTACTACAAACGAACTTATCTTATTTTTAATTATTATTATGGCGCAACAAATGTTTAAAAATATGCCCTTCCATTTGGATACATATGTATAGCTTTTTTCATATATTTTTTTGGACGTTTTAGCATTCGTCTTGCGTTGCATTCACATAAACACGATCTTTAACATATCCCCACAAAAAGTAATCTAGTAGTGTTGTCACATGATCGATGGGGCCATCCAATGAATCCACCTCTGCCGATCCATTTTTATGGAGCTCCATCTTGCTGAAGCCACATTTATTGAGTCTTAATATGTTATCAACTTCTTGAAGAAGTTGGGGTAAATTATTCTGAAAAAATGACCAATCATCTCTTATGAGAATGACAGTTCTTTTCACATCCCTTACGCGATAGAGGCGCGTTAGTAGAAAATTTAGGTTAACGCTATTTTGTATACCTAATCAAAACTGGCTTTACTAATATGTGACTAGGAAATAGTTGATCATTTTTCAAATGACTCAAAGGTAAGTTGTTCATAATTTTTGTTAAACAATAAGACTTGCGTTGCATGTAACGGCCATCATACATACAGAGGTGACCATTCCTGAATTCAAATCAGAATACTTTAGTTCACTAAAAAAAGGAAAATTAACATATATATATATATATATATATATATATATATATATATATATATATATATATATATATATATATAGATGCTGCTAAAAGAGTATTCGAACGGGTAAAGATATGTAAGGAATGTCATAGGGATTTGGTTGGTGGTGATCGACAAAAAACCAGAATATACGACAAATCTTATTTTTTCAAAAATGTATCCACTTTTTAAGCAATATTTTACTTCAAATTTGTTATTATCAAAATACGAGATGTTTCACGATTGATGGTATTTTAGACATTTACTGAGAACAGTTAATTGGATTGTTCTGAAAATTTGGTTAGATTCAAAGCGGCTATACTCTATCGCTGTAAAATATTTTTAAAGCTACGATGTTAGCGCTTCTTCGGAAAAGTAGCATCACCATTGAATTTTTAAATGGGATGCCATGTATATTATTCCATTTACGATTCGCTAGTACTTAATGATTGTTTTTGAATAATACGTTCCTATAAATGTCTTTAGTGGTTTTCGAGAAATTAGATATCTTTTCGATTAAAACATAGTTTCCATTAAATTCTTATTACTGCGACACTGCAGCCAATATAAAGTTAATTTTTATTAATTATTTTTTTAATTAATATCTGACAGAATTTATTAATATCAAAATCAGTTCAACATTATGCAGGGTTGGTCAAAACTATCGATTTGTCTACCAGATACAAACATGGTGAAAAGTGCAAAAAGTACATTTTTTTAAGGGAAAATCCTGTTTATTATCACATATTCGAAGATGTATCATGACCCTTTACCTAAATCGTTTGGTTTTGTGAAAAAAAGCAGGGAATAACCTACCAAATTGTCAGAACAATCCAATGTACCATTCGCCGTAAACATATAAGGTAATGTCTGTTCATAGATATAAGAAAGTGACCAATTGCTTTTGAATGGGATTATTCAAGGGTGGTCATCAACATACAATGCAACAAGATTATTACCTAAAGTTTAGGAATTTAAATTCAGGTGAAATTGTGGTCCGTAATAGAAAATAATTTTATACCTACCTGTGTTTAATATTCTTTGGTTTGATATACTACTTAGGAGATGCTCCCGCCCAAATGTAGAAAACAATATTCTATTGAGACTAAGGAAGTTATAAACAATGTTTTTTGACTCTCATTCAACGTGGTGCCAGCAAGTAAGTATCTTTAGAAGAGACGGCCACATTGACGAAAATTCATTCCAACTTCAACGTAAAATTTACCAGTTATACGAAGAATATAGCGTGCCTACATTAGATATCTTAATTAGGAGGCTTGAAAAAGATGAAACCGGTGTTAAATATGGCAGAACTACCTTATCGAAGTTTTAATGGAATCTTTTAGAATTCGGAAATGCGACTGGAATATCTAGAAAAAATTAGGATTTACAGAGAACAACAAACGTCAATTATTTACTTGGATGAAACCTGGTGGGACACTTATGATACCCCGGAAAACGCGCCATCAAAAAGAGGAAAAAGAATAACTATTTTGCATGCTGGCTCTGAAGATGGTTGGATTCCAAATGGACTTTCTCTGTCTGCGAAAAATATTAAATTAGAATAAAATGGATTACCATGAAGACACCACCGCTGGTTTATTTGAAAGTTGGTTTAAAAACAAATTAGTTCCAAACACTCCTCCTAATAGCGTCATTGTAATGGACAATTCAAGTTATCACAGTAGACAGTTGACTAAAACCCATGTGACACAAAAGCAACAATCTAAAACTACATGTATAATAACGACATTTATTTTCACGAAGATTATACCAAAAAGCAATGAATTGAGGTTCTACAAAGCTTGAACCTACAAAAGGAGTATGTCTGTGATAATTATGCATAAAATCTAGACCATACAGTTTTAAGGCTTCCACCTTACCACTGTATATTTAATGTTTTTCCCCGTGTTAACTCCAATGTCCTCAAACTTTTAGAAACCGAAGTTTTTAACATCCCTCCACAAAGTTGGGCAAATTCTATTAAACATATAGAAAAAGCAGAACAATCGTATATCCATATTGCAAATAATATAGAACAAATAATAATTGGAACAGGAGATGATAGCGATAGTGATACTGATATACTATGTGAATAATTTTAAGTAATTTAAGTAGGTAATAAAAATAATTTGTAATTTTATTTTAGATTTAAACATAAATACATACATAGATAAATAAATATTGTTTAGTATCTTTCCTAACAAAACCCCCTAATAATTAAATTCTAAGCAAAGTACGGACCTGTTCGGCCATATTTCATTCTTAGAGCTTGCCCGGGTCTTTCCTTAATTCTTATCAGTTAGTCACTTTCTTATATCAATGAACAGACTTTATCATGAACCGTGAAACACCTCATATATCCGATGTTTTACAACTCTTTTTAAAACCTTATTGCAAAGAAGATATATTCTCATATGATTGACGTAACATAAGAGAGTTTACCTTAAATTGCGACAGTAAATTTCATTCATTGGTTTGGATTAAGAATATTAATTCAAATTTAAAGGAAAAAAACAGTAAAAAATACATATGATATTTGATGTGTCCAAATAAAAATGTTCAGTCATCATTAATTTATGTATTTTTACGATTTGTGTTTTCAATAAACATTAAACTGTTTTGTCTTTTATTTCACAAATATTATTAACTACTTAGTTTTTTAAACCATTTATCGGAGTTATCTGATTCACCCTGGCAATAGAGGGCGCAGCGACTCCGGTTCTCGAATTTGTATATCTATTATCTATGGTTGCAACCAAAGTTGCTAAAAAATAGCCCTTATTTATCCGATTTGGCCCGAACGAAACATCGATCTGGAATTAGAGTCGGATCCACATTCACAACTTAGATTATTTCCTTTCAATAACACCCTGTATGATAGCCAAGTGCAGTTAAGGTTGTGAATTAATTGTCTAGAGCGTCTTGGAGGGTTACAACGCGACGATCTTCGTCTACGGCCAGACCGGCTGCGGAAAATCGTTTACGATGGAGGGGGTCAAAGGCGGAGACCCCGCCCACAGGGGCGTCATTTCCAGAACGTTTGACCACGTGTTCGAAGCGATATCCGTCACGACGGGGGTCAAGTATCTCGCGTTGGTCAGCTACCTGGAGATCTACAATGAACAGATTCGGTATAAAACTTTAATAGCTTTATTATATTATAATTATAAATAATTATAATAATTTAATACGTCGTCCTTTACATGCGTTTTCGTCCGCATTGTAATAATGTCGTCGTATTTATAACAATAACCATGGTAAAAATATTAATAAATACCTACAATATGAAATAGAGAACCACATAATTAAAAAGGAAAAAAAAACTAATACTACAACAACGAAGTTGTGAAGATTGTTAGGATGCACAATTTAAAATTATTTAAAGTATACAGGTGACTCAAAAATCATAACGAATACAACATACAGTTTTTTAAATGTAACACCCTATTTTTAGTTTTTGTGATGAATAAGGGACACGACTATTTATCACGTATTACATTAATAATTACAAGAAAACCCTTTGAAAATCTATAAAAGGGCACTTTTTTTGCGTTTGGTTGTAGCTAGTGTTGCAGCATCCAAAGCTATATGGCAGCCTGATATATATAATACATACATAGTATGTATGTATGTATATATATATATATATATATATATATATATATATATATATATATATATATATATATATATATATATATATATATATATATATATATATATATATAGTTTATTTATTTATTTTCAAGCCTAGCAGTTTTTTATGAAACTAGGTATAGTTTTTTTAACAACTCTGATTCTTATGCCAAGTGAATGAGGACTGTTACCGGAAACTCACTATGCTGTAATACACAGTTCAAGGCATACCATTCTATATAATATTGTCAATTTTCTGTTTTTTATTATTTAAAAAAGCTTTTTGCTATTTTATTGTACAACCTTATTTTGCTATAATTTTTCTTTTAACTGTTTGTAAACGTTTAATTACATTAGGCCAAGTGATACCTCGATAGCGTTTCCTTGGCATTTAATGTGGTACTATTTCATAAAATTTTTCTCGATTCGATTTTGAACGAAAACGCATCCAAAAAAGGAACCGACCTTAAGTGTTGGGATGAACTGATACTCGTTGTAGGGATTTACTAGTGCCAAACGATAAAATGGCCACCAGCAGCACGCTGAGCCTCAAAGAGACCCCTAACGAAGGGGTCACGGTTCCAGGCCTGACCCAGCATCCGGTCCACAACGTAAACGAGTGCGAAAATTTCCTCAACGTCGGTTCCAAAAATCGCATGATCGGAGCGACGCTGATGAACCAGAACAGCTCCAGATCGCACAGCATCTTCACCATCAGCATCGAGCAGATCAGCAATTTGAACAACAACGAAAGTATACGGAAAGGAAAGTTAAATTTGGTGGACCTCGCGGGTTCCGAGAGGCAGACCAAAACCGGAGCCACCGGCGACCGTCTCAAAGAGGCGACCAAAATAAACCTGTCTTTGAGCGCGTTGGGAAACGTTATCTCGGCCCTAGTGGACGGCAAAGCCAAACACATTCCCTACAGGGATTCGAAACTGACGAGGCTGCTGCAGGATTCTTTGGGCGGAAACACCAGGACCTTGATGATCGCGTGCATCAGCCCGTCGGACAGGGATTACATGGAGACGCTGTCAACGTTGAGGTATGCGAACAGGGCGAAGAACATCCACAACAAGCCCAAGGTCAATGAGGTGAGTGTTTTTTTTTTTTCGATGACGAACGTTAGCTACTGATGCTACGTCGACGGCAGGATCCCAAAGACGCGATACTACGTCAGTACCAGGAAGAAATCGAGAGGTTGAAGGCGCTGCTCGAGAACCAACAGCCGACGGAGGCAGTGGCGCTGAGCGAATCGATCGAGATCAACGACAACGTTGACTTCGACGCGAAACGGGACCATCTGGTGCAGCAGTACCAGCTCGAAATGGAGAAGCTTAAGAATCTGCACGAAAGGTAAGTCTTGCAGGAAATTCTTTCTTTCCTTCTACACGAAACATGTTATATTGTGCCCCCCAGCTCCTGGTTAGTTTTGCTTGCTTCTTCTGAGCTGACTCAACGACCAAGTTTTTCCTTTCCCATCGTACCATCTGTTTTTTTTCTTAATTTCATTGATATTAACAGGTCAACAATTTTTAAACTTTTGGAAATTAATTTCGATTCTTTATAATTTAGGCCTCCTAAATTTAAATCTGATAAGCATTTTCCTCTATCACGTAATGATATGAATGAATGAATAAATTTAAACATTATTTTTATTATTACAAGATGATATTTGGGTCGGATGGCGATGTGAAGTTATCGGTCTGGTTTTCTGTAAACAGAATGACCCAATGTTGGGTCAGATTTTCTGTTGATTAGAATATCTGTCAATGGGAGATTATTATTAGTTTCCAAATCAAGAGTAATTTAGTATAAAGCATGTTAGGGTGTATAGAGTTTAAAGCCACGAGGCTAAATAACAAAAGTATCATCAACGTTGCGTTTCCATAAATTTGGTCACGAGGACTCATAGCTGTTCCCGACATTTTTCAATTAAGATGAGAAAGTCTGGTTCCAGATTCTCGGATTTTAATATATCTGCAATAATATTGAGAGTTTTAGGAATAGGGACTTTAGAAGAAGGATTCTAGGTCGAAACTAATCATAATATCTTGTGGAACTAATGTAATGTTTTTTAATTGTTCAATGAAATGAAAGGAATTAAGTGCGAAACTATCAGTTTTCCCTGTAAAGGAATTTTAATATTTTCCTAGAGAATATGTTGGTGCTGACATTAGGTCGAAGGGGTAATCCGGGTTTGTGAATCTTAGGGAGTCCGTCGAGACGAGGAATTTTCGAGTCTGATAGAGAAGAAGCCTTAATAACAGATTTAAGTTCCATAGATGGTGTAGGATCTTTTTTAAGTTGATGATAGGATTTTTTCCTGATATTTACTAGTGTTCATGACCACTTTTCCTTTATGTTTTTAGAAATTAGAAATTTTAGGATTTTTGCGGTTTCAAATCGAGTTCGTTAGTTGTTGGAGACAGTTTATTCAAGATAGACTCGACATTTGAAATGACTTTCAGTTTTGTCATGAATCATGTTTGAAAGAGTATCGAATGGGTCAATCATCCTGTTGGCTTCAGAGCTTAACTGAAACTGGTAACAGTAACTTGTGGAAAAATTAATACTGTTAACATTTTTGAATTCTGAATGTTCAAAACCCTCAGATATTGAATTTGCTTTGCAGTTTTGATGTTAGTTTTACTTGACTTTACTATTTCTTGAGACGTATTTTGATCCGGGTCATGTCATCGTTTCCTGGATTGTTGTAAAAACATATTTTACCCTTCCAAAGGGCTCTTTATTTGCCGCTACTTGCCGCCATTGTTAATCGTTCTGCTTCTTGCATTGCTAGACCAAGCTTGGCAGCTTCGGTTTCCAACCTTTTCGTTACTGCCTGTAACTCCCAGCTTGCTAATATTTTACTGGTTCTTATTATTTCCTTCGACGCTAAACCAAAATGTACTGTGCAGCGAGAAAAACGAAAAAGAAACGATCCTGAAGCAGATCCAAACGATTAAAGAGGAATACGAGGCCAACATCAGACAGCTGAACGAAGAGATCAGGGAGAATAGGAAGAAGGACGCGAGCTCCAAAGAGGAAATAGTAAAAAGGATCGAAGTGCTGAAAGCGGCACTAATAGGAGGCGAAAAGGCGGATGATAAGGAGTTGTCGGAGAGGCGGAAGAAAAAGAAACTGGCAGCCCAGAAAAGGGCGAGGTGAACGAATCGACTATGTGACAGAACCAAATAAGACGTCGTAATTTCTTTCAGCTTGATAGCACACCTGTTGGCAAAAATCGAAATGAACGAGGACCGCGAGATCCTGCAGAATCAGTACAAGGACATCAGTCAGGAGTTGCTGATCAAAACCGAAGCGCTGAGACGGTACAGGCACCGGGTGAAAGCGTTGGAGAAGGAGGTCAAGGACATCCACAGCGAGTTCGAGCAGGAACGCGAGGACTACCTGGAGACCATCAGGCGCCAGGACCGTAGTGTCAAATTGTCCGCGCAGATTGCCGAGAAGCTGGCGGGAACTCTGAAAAAAGAGTGCAACTACAGGTAGGAAGCGCGTTAGAAAAAGTCGGTTATATATCTGTCTCACTTTGTGATATTAACTCAAAAGATGGTTCCTGTCCTGTTCTGTCCCTGTAATTTTTTTATTTCTTAAACTATTGCACGGGGAGCGTAAAAAAAGGCGCGATAAACCGACGATACGCCCAATATACAGGGTGTTTTCTAATTGAATGTCAATAATTAAGGGAGCGTTTTTGAGTCCATTTTAAAAAGAAAACTTCAAATGAACGTATGACCTAAACGTCTTAATCTTTAAGATACAGAGTGGTAAAGTTTTCAAAAATAAATTATATTTTTTTAATATCTGTAATACCACTATAGATATTTTAATGAAATTTGGCACACACGTACTATGTATTAAGAGACATTTTTTTAAAAATACACCAGTGGCGGGAGTAGTGAATTTCACCTGTCTATCAAACTGAAACACCCGGTATACGTGTCAGGTATATTGTTCTTTGCTATTTTTCCGTCGTCCTTCATTCTGTTTATGTCTTTATTCCGAAATTTTCTGCTTTTTCTAACGCGTTTTGCCACGTCCTCTCAAGTTTAGGAAAAAAAAGAAGAACATAAGTGGGCATGAATATATCTGGGCAAGAGGTGATCCAACATATAATTACTGAATTGCTATTGATAATCCTTTTGGATTTCTCCTGCTGTTTATTTTGTTGTTTAACTTCTACTTTACTTAGAGGAGACAAGTTAATAACGAACACGTCTGATCGTAGCGCAACCTGGTAACAAAGTGCTTTTATTTTACATAGTTTCCTTAGATCATGTGATCCAAAAGTACAGCATAGTATAAAACAAATATAAAGCCATCACGGTATATGGAATTGATACAATAAGATCATGTGACACCTGCTCGGGTTGTTGATAAATAGAGTTTACTAACGTTTCGTCAATCATCCGGTTTGCTTCTTCAGAGTTTTAATGAAACAGTTTCAGTTAAGTTCTGAAGAAGCCAACAAGATGATTGAAACGGAAAAGAAGGAATCCAGAAGATTTGTAAATATCATTACAGTAGCTTGTGTAAGTTTCTTTGAAAAATTACTGATTTCTTTAATTATTCTGCTTACTACTTAATGGCTACATTTAAATGTCCACCAGCTGTAATCTGATAACCACCACTAAGATCTATAAAATGATGAGATGTCATAATTATAGTTTTACCCTTTTTATTTACCTATAAATGAAGAGGAATTTTGTGCCTTCGTTATGGAGCTTGTATTTCTGCTATTAAATTTCTGGTGTCCTCTTTATTTAGCCGAAATAAGTTAATAAATTTCTGGTTAGGAATTATATATCGATATTCCATCTTCTTTCCCCAAAGTTTACATATTCGTTGAAATGAAACTAACCTCAAATTTTCCTGATTTCCTAAAGCCGCTAGTTAATCATCATATTTAACAATGCATTTTTAAAATTCGAAAATGAGTTTTAAAAATAATAATTAGGCCGCAAACAGTCCCATTTTCAAACTCGCTAGTTTTTTTTTTTTTTTTCAATGAGACACCTTGAAATTTTAAGTGTTATCAAGTCAAGTTTATCAAACTACATTGGGGCTACCTATACCTATTCCGAACAGTATTCTAAATAATTAGTTACATTATAAAGTTACAGAGTATCCCATTTGAAAAAAAAAAATAGCGACTTTGAAAATGTGATTTTTTTGCGGATTAATTTTGGACACCCTGTATACAATTAGACAACGACAATAACAAAAACGTGAACTTAAATCTCTCTTTTAACATTTTGTTATATATGAATATCAAATTTTCAGAAATTACTAAAATAACTTTATTCAAAGTTGGTTCAGCCAAAGGAGCAATTTTTTTAACATCAAATATTTCGGTTAGTCATAGGTATAAAGCATTATACCTAAAATATGTTTATAATTTCACATTTCACAATTTCCATTTCACAATCTCAAAATGGAATAATATATGGCAATTGAAAGCATCTGACAGGACGTTGAAAATATTTTTTTCCAATATCACTTGACACTTACCTAAACCTCAAAAATTCGGAGCGTTTTTCTAAATTACATTTCAATAAATTTTTCATGAACGGGTTGGGTGAGAACCCTGTAGACGACACCGGACTGTAAGAAAATCCGACGTATTCAAATCGGGTTTGTTTGCAGCGACTTGGAGGCCATCAGAGAGCAGGCCATTTGGCTTGACGACAGCCAAAAATACAAGCTGCCGGACGTCGTCGTAGCCAAAACCAAGCTGCCACCGGCCGGTGAGTAATGATTTTAGATCGGCTACAGATTGGATGTTGGGGGAGGGGGGTATTGGTCCGTGGGTTTGCGTTTTAGTAATCGGATAATTTACTGTAGGTAGATTTTTCGACATTCAAACGGCTCCCGCGAGACTTAACAGCGAACCCTCCGTCGACCGCGAGGATAGGGCTGATAAGGTCTGCCTAATGAAAACGTTTGAATGTTCTTTTAGCGTTTCAAATCGCATGCCCGCTGATTTTCTGTACTATACGGGGCGAGCCAAAGTATCCGATTGTTTTTTGCGACCGGAGTATAGTCCTTTCGCAGATAAGAGCAGTTTTGGTTTATTATTGAACGCGACAACAATATGCAGTGCAGGATCGCACTGTATATATTATTAATTTTGCTATATTCGAACATCAGAAATATCGAAATAGGGATCATCGATAAGAAGATGGGGCACTTTCCCATTACAAACAAAATGTAGGAGGGTGCCTGAAATGTTTCCAAATCGGTGGATCAGTCGAAGAGAGACTATGGAGTGGCCGCCACGTTCAACAGATTTAAATCCCCTAGATTTTTTTCTTTGGGGTCAAATCAAAACTAAAGTGTACGAAACCAAATAAACCTTTGTAAGTGTACCAATTCGCTAAAAATGGAATAAAGTGAAAGAAAAGTTTGATAATTTTGGGAAAAAACCCTAATTAGAAAAGAGTTGTGTGACCTAACGGTTATAATACTCTATAAGGTTGAACACGTAACACTATGGTAGGAGCAGAAACTCTGCGTGTCCCGTTTTCAATTTTGAATTTTCAACTTTATATTATTCGACGTTGTTCAATACATAAAAAATAGTGTAATTCGGGTGGTGAGGTCTAGCTTGCTGCTACTCATATCTAACCACTCAGTACAGTTACTAACAACATGGTATTACAAATAAACAAGAAAAACAACAGAACAAATTCTTAACAGCATAAAAATATACAAAATAAGTATATATACAGCGTGGCACAAATATAAGAAATTTAGAACAAAGATATAAAAAGCAAAACGAGCAATAACAGTACGATCTTACGAGTGACATGAAACGAATGCACATCAATAGAGAAATATTACGGAAGCCACATCCAAAATCATTCAAAGGTATGCAGAAAAACATAGAGATATAACAGTTTTATAAAGGAGATCTAAAGTGGTCCTGTAGATCGAGCAAACCTTAATGCTGTGGGGAATAGAATTGAAATATTTTTCTGCATTGTAACTTGTAGCTAAACGACTTCTGAAACATGGCCGTTCTGCACCTTGAAACTGTCAGAAAATGCCTATAACTCCTGGCCCTATTAGCTGTTGTTAATTGATAATTTTAAAAACAAGCATACGAGTTTCCAGTCTAAGCCAATTAGAATTTGAACGTAAAGGAGAGACGTAATCAAAACGTCTCATCCAGAACAAAACCTTATACAGCTGTTTTCTAATTTTTTCTAAATTCTAATTTCAATTCTCGTGGACGGGTAACAAATTATTTAAACAGATAAAGATCTTAATACTTTTTATAAAACTTCTAGATTCCTCCTGAGTCGGTTTTTGTTGAGTCAAACTAACTAAAGTTTCGCCAATCATCCTGTTGGCTTCTTCAGAGCTTGACTGAAACTGTCTCGCATTTTATTCTGTACCTACTGTTATATTGTTTGAGGGGGGCGGAGCTAAATGAGATGCGCCGTCTCGGATGACTGATTCCCATATTGGTAACAGGTAGAGACCTGGATCGCGGTTAAGATTGTTAGGTTGCTTATAGATTTCTATAGACTCTCCAAAAGTTTTATAAAAAAGTGTTACAGTAGCCTGTGGAAGTTTCTTAAAAAAAAAGATCTTAAGTTTACAATAACTTTGTTGGACTAGATAAGACACGTGAGGTCTAAATTTCATTTTGTTCTCAAATTTTTGAGTTTTTAAAGTTGTTAACGTGAAGTTTGTGTACAAGGCAGAAGTCGCTTACAATCTGTATCATGATATCCAGACCCGTCAAAAGTACGTGTCAAATGGTCTGCTATAATCAAGACCGAGGCAACTAGATTGCAAATTAGAAACTACAATAGTGTAGCTGACAATGACATTAACAATTAGAGTAGTGCACGTAGGTGCATCAGAGCACCTGAATGTGCAGTAAAGATGGTGTATACAATTTTCTAAACGTTTTTTAAAGAGATCTACTGCATTTACATAAAATTACCAAAGAAAGAAGCAGTGACATCTATATATATTTTTTGTTCTACAAAAAGGCAAGGAACGGTTCTGGATTCTGAACGACATAGTCTCTAACTTCTCTCCTAAAGCTATTTTCATTTTTGATATTCCTTAATTGCAGAGGAAGACATTTATAAAATTTTAGTGCTAAATAGTTTAAGTATATTTGCTTAGTTATTTTTACTATAAGGAACATTGCAATAAATTCTTTTGACTTATAGTACCGTACGGACTTTTAATAAAGTTTTGTCTAATTTATTTTTCTTTTTCTTTTTCTGGCGCTCATCACTTTTGTTACGCCCTGGTTTCCGATAGATTTTTGGTCTTTGGCTTTTCCGGTGTTCTTTAGGTTGCCATTCCATTGCTTGTTTGGGAAGTCTTGTGTGAGGTATTTATTGCACGTGTCCAAACCAAATTAATTATTATTAATAATTTCTTTGACTCTGTCGTTTCAAACCCTATCCCTTCGAGAAATCCTTAGTGACCCACGCACTGCATCCATCTCAACAGCTTCTACCCTTTTTTTATATTTTTCTGTAAGTCTCCAACTTTCAGCCCCATATAGTAAGCTGTTTTTTATATATATTATATTTTCTTTTTTCTATTATATGCTTGTTCCATAGTATTCCATTAAGACATGGTATTACTTTTTGGGCTGTAGTTATTCTTTTTCCTATTTCCTTGTTGTCTGTTGTATCAAAAGTAACTCCCAGATATTTGTACTCTAGGCAATGATGCAATGTTTAATGAGGAATGTGTGGTTTAATTGTAGATCACCAGGTTCTGTGTTAACTGCAAGGGCCCATTTTTCAAGTTTACGCATCATGTACTCCATATTCTTTCTTTTATCATTTGTCATTATCACTTGATATTACTGCTTGATCGTCTGCAAACTGCAAGGTGTATAAATGAAAGTCATTAAGTTCAATCCCCATTCCGTATATTTTCCGTTTCCATTGCTTTAGGGCGGCAGTCACATAGATATTAAACAGTGTTGGAGATATACAGCATCCCTGTCTGAGGACTGCGAATTCCTTGCTGACATATTTCCCTAACTTCACTCTTGATGTTATACAAATCTTGTAGTGCAGCAATGAGTGTATGATTGATGTTTGTGTCCTTTAGGATTTTCCAAAGTCTTGTTGTCGGTATTGTATCGTAAGCTTTTTGAAGATCAACAACAGATATACCGTCCTCGATCTCCTTGAATACATTCTTTCAGGTTTTTTTAAAATCACATGAAGGTTACCCTTTTCAATCACAAATGGCTCAAGGCTCTACTGTAAAGACCAACCAAAACTGTCAATCCGTATCTGAAAATCTGTTCGGTTAACGATTTGTAAATAATAACAAGATTTTTTTCAAAATAAATTTTCTTAATAGATAGAATTTGTATATTAGATATGTCCAGCTTCAATCCATGACTTCCCTTTAAATAAAAATATAGTGTATATCAATTTGAATACATTAAACAATATGGGCCCCAGGATATATCATGAGATACTTTTAAGCCGGCGGTTATTGTTCTATGATGAGCTCTCAAACCGGAGTGAGTAGAAGGAATTATAGCATTCCGCAAAGAATAATCCAGGATCTTAGAAAGAACCGGCAGTCTTTACTTTTTTTACAGCTAAGTCAAAAAGCATTTGGGAGCCAATCGGTTTCTCATCTGGCATGTAAAATTGTTGCTCCTTTACTTTTATTAAAAGGAGCTGTGGTTCTACAGTTCCATCCTTTGGTGTCAAACCATGTGCCTCATCAAGGTTAATGATTTTTGTAATAGCTGTAAATTTTGTAGACTTGTAATGTTCTGTTGATTACGGATTTGATGGATTATTCTTAAAGGGAAATTCGTGGGTGGGAAAAGCAAATCGAAATCGAATATTTCAGGACAATTCTACTGTTTTATACGACAATAATGCTTTGTAAATGTAGTACATTTTCCGTCCTTGTCGCTTCCTTCTTGTTTCAATGGGATTTGACAGTATTATAAACAGTTTTTACAATTTTCTTCGCATCGCATAATGAAACACTGTGTTCGGCGGTAGAAATGTCTTCCCAGGGACGGGATATAAAGAGAAAATGAGACTACACCAAACTACAATTGTATGTGAAACGTCCACTTATTACAGTCATTACTCCAAATCCATTTATCTGTGAAAGTTCTATAGATGTCCATCCACGTGCTATTTGCACAGCGTAAGGCGCGTGGCTGTCCCTTTCTTCGACTCTTTTTTTTGGGTGCCATACCAAAAAGACAAAGATTGCTGATGATGTTCAAATAAACAAAAAATTGCCGTTTTTCAAGATTCCAATCCCTTAATCCTCCAAATATTAAATGAAATGATGAATACGTACATACGGGACGTCACCTCTCGTGTAAAAAAAAACTCAAAATTGGCTCATTTTTGGCCCCACGCTATCATTGTATATATTTAAATATGAAAAGCGTTTATTTTGCTACCGCATTATTACCGGTTCCGGTTTTTCTTTGTCTTTCGCACGCCGCTTTTCCGCACAGGACAAAATCACAACCGAGTCACGCCGCCGTTCGGTGATTCGAACCCGGGCAGCCCTAACATATTCGAAAGCGAGGTAATGACGATAGTTTGACTAAAATCTAAGGCATGGCGTTTGTGTAGTGGTTTAACTAGCGGTACGAGAAGTAGAGGGGGAACCTAACCCGACTCCTTTTAGAAGTTTGAGGAGCCCAGCAAGCCGCAGGATCTTATCAGCAGTTACTTCCAGCCGACGACCAAGCGCGCAAACGAACTACTTAGCCAGTCGTCCAAGTTGGAGAGCAAGGCGTTCAATCTGTGGAGAGGTATGGTAAAATTCTCGCCTCTCAAAATAGGTAAAATATGTTGAAATTAGGTTATGTGGGTATTCCAGAATTCGCGAAACGCAGCAGGACGAGGTCAACGGAGAACCTGAGCCAGGAGTCGCCTCTAAATGGCGGCAGGAGCAGCCAATGGCTACCAAGTAAAATATTTCTCATTAATTTTTCACAAAACATTAATCCGCGACCTTTAGGCTCTCCATTCAATACGGATTTAAGTGTCAGGCGCCCGGTGAGACTGCAGGCCCTGCCCAGCATAGACAAGACTAACAAAATAGCGAGAGTCAACACCATGGACTACTTATAGCCTATGGAGGTCACCAGTGATAACCTTATTGTGATACATTTTGTTATAGCATAGTTGGCGTTTGAAATAATTATTTTGTTACCTATCTTTGAGTAAATAAAAAACGTTGGAAAACTAACCAACGGTATATTTTTCTATGGAGGAATGCCTATCTCAAATTCCAACGATTTCGTGCTGTTAATGTCTTTCTCCATATCTTTCGCTTTGGTCTTGTATTTGTCAGCAAGCTCTTGGTTCTTCTCAACGCCTTCCCCCTTGGCATACATCTGACTCACATTCGCGCAGCTGAACGGATTACCGAGCTCGCAAGCCCTCAAAGCATATTTAAAAGCCTGTTGCATAACTTTATTGCTATCGGCGCTCGGCGACTGCTCCGTTAGCTTTCTTGCCTGCAGTATATACTGGGCGGAGAGATAAAAGCACGCCATCGCCTTGCTACCATCGCAAGACTTGCTCAAACACTCCATACCCTTTAAATTCGTAACATAAAGCCTCAACATTCCCAATATGAGAAATCTACCTTAGAAATGTCATACGGCACTCCTTGCTCTTCATTCTGGCTCACCAGAAGCATGCCCTGGTGAAAACAGCTCTGAGGATCTCCCAACTCGCAGCCTTTGTTGTAGTACTCATAAGCAGTCTTATAATTTCCATTTTTGATACCTTTGTTTAATATATTATAATTGCCGTATTTGGTACAACTTTTTCCAAATTTAAACTCGTCGCAGTTATTTTTATACACTTTCGCCGCCTTCTCGAAGTCTTTCTTGATCGCTTCGAGAAAATCGCCAAGCAAATGACATACTGCAAACAGAAAACCGTTAACCTACAAACATTCTTAACTCCGACAGAAGAACACCTTCCGGATTTTTTTCGCTATAGCATCCGAATCTGTATTCAATCCCTAAATTGTTCAGGTATTCTTTCACTTCGCTCTCTGATTTTAAGTCGAACGTCATAATTTTCTGTACTTAATACAAGTGACATAACCTCCACGCCGCCGGGTCGTTTGAACTACTCGAAGAGTAAAGAAACGGCAATCGAACTATGGTCCGCCGCGTGACGTCTTCGACGGTACTTTCCGCGAAATCGGTGGATACATTTGGGAGTTGATGACCGCGCGTCGCGACGCACAACGCCGCGTAAACTATTCCGGGGCGAAAAAGATATTTTTGGAGCGTCGGTGCGAAAATAACTCGGACGAAAATGTAACTACAAAATTCAACAAACGATTTGAGGAAATCGTTTTATGCGCCGGGTCCGATCGGGAATATAAAACAGTATTAAAAGATTTATATGTAGTCGTTCGTGGACGACTGCAATTTATGTTATTGTCCGCGTTGCCTTCTACATTACAGACGCACAAGAAATGCCAACGTTGATTTACAAGGGAAGTATCAACGAAATTAGAAATTCTTTATCCAACGGATAATGAAAGGTATACGTTGCGTTAAAACCAGATTTTTCCGATAACAATAACAAACAGCGGAAGAGCTTCTTTTTTTGTTAGATCGACTGCCTTTCGGAACAAAAAAAAAAGGTCGGGCACCGACCGCTTCGATCTTGCTCAAAAGATAAAGGAAATTCCGTACTTGGCAGCTTGCCAAGATCGTTACTCTCGACCCCAGAGTACTTACCACACACATTGTGCTTTGATTTTCGCAATTTTTGAGTAAGTTTTGAGGAAAACCCCTCCCCACGACCAGACTAGTTTCTTGGAAATATCAGAGGCGGACGTCGATTATCATAGCCAGCGGACAAGAGCAATTGCGACGTCCCAAACACTCACAAACACACGCACACACACACGGCGACTATATATAAATAGAAAATACTTCGCTACGCAGCTGGCAGTTTGACGTAGTCCGACGGCAATTCAAAGTAAGTTTTGGAATAAATTCGCAGCAGTGTTAAATTCTGAGTCGCCGCGAGCTTTTGGTTGCCCCCCACAAAACGATTTTGAGGAGGTTCGCCTATCCAGTGCAGGAAGAAGGTTGCGAGAGGTAAGCGGTCTTCTTACATAAGTGAGTTTTAAAATCAAGTCGTCTTTGTGATATGGCCTTCTACGTCGCTGATACGCGCATCTAGCATGTTCCAGAAAGTAACAAACGCGAAACGTCGGCATTATCCTGACCCAACTGATATTAATAATCTGACACGCAATAACTAACCAAAACGCACGAATGTTTTTGTTTTTTCGTCTGGAAAATACGTTTACAATGGTTGTCACGCCAGGCGGTTAATGCCAACGCTCTTTAATTTATACCTACCGTGAAGGATCCAGATCTGTGTCGGTGATAAAGTTGTGCATTCACTCGATGGTATCACGGTGTATTGTTTTTATTTTCTTTTTAATTCGAGGATAACCAAAAGAACCCTAACTATATGCCACATTGTAACCGACTACTGGTAAATCAGTAAAGTTCTTTCCTTACTAAAATTTATCGCAACGGTAATCAATTTTCTGCGAGGGCTCGATACCCATCTCCGAAATTCGAGCTAAAAAATAACCACATGATTGCGACAATGCTCATGAATACACCAGTCAGTAATAACAGAAGCAAAATAACAATAGGTATTGGCTTGATTTAGCAGTAAAAGATAACCTCAAATTTGGGCTTCAGAAATACTAGGAATATATCGAAAAATGTTCGGTACCACCAAAATACTTACTAGATTTGCAGATCCAATTTTCAAATGTTGGTTCACGACGAAACGTAACTTGCCGCGTTTTGTTATTAACACGCAAAAAAGCAAAAATATTTGAAAAATTATTAAAACTAAGTTGTAAAAGTAAAAATGCTTAAATTGTTAAATTATTTACATTTAGAAGTAACGGAACACACCCAAAAACACTAAATACTTGTGGATGACAAAAGTCAAAAACAGTGTCACCAATATATGCAATATTTTTAATTCGCCGGTAAATTCAATTTATTATAAATATGCAAATAATTATAAAACACATGTTAACGTTAAAACGTTAAATCTTAATTATACTTTTATTATGCTATACTTTATATTTATATACTTTTTAGCGCAAAATTAGATTAATGACACACTTCAAATCGTTCCTAAATTATCGTATATTAAAAAAAACATTAAGTTGGTAGTTACAATTGTATTTTATGTTCTTAAGTTGTCAGTAGTAAGTAGACTGTCAAAGATGACGACGATATACTTTTTTCCTCTAATAAAAGAATGTTAGTACAATTTGAGACCTTAAAAATATCAAACGTGCTCATAGTCTTCCAATTAGAGGAGACACCATATAATAATTATTATTATATTGGATTATAATTATAGAGATGGGCAGATATCTGTATAGAGATTGGCAGATATTTGTATAGAGATGGGCAGATAACAGAAATTGGGGGTATGAATAAAAACAAACTAAAAGCTTTTACTTGAAGTTCTCGAGGCAATACAATTTACACAGGCTATTGTCGTGACTAATATTCAGCGAATAGCTAGATGTTATGTTTCGTTTCGAGAGTTCAGTTGTGTAAAACATTTTTTTGTCGGGCGAAAGAAAACTTATTAGCATATGAGACGGTGACGTCACGTTTCCTGTTTTCAAAAATAATTCTAAATAAAATATAGAGCTATCGATTCAAATCCACTTTAACATAACACATTGTGACTATATCGGTCTTCTCACTTTAATTTTCAAATACGTGATAGGCTTCAATTAGCGTTATATAAAGACCAAGTTTTAGAGTGCAATAATGATTTATAACTTTCGCGCATTAAGAAGCAGTGCATAGCTATAAACAACTTGCGAATGCTGACCTTAGAAAGCGTTGCAAGAGCCGGAATTAAGTCCCTTTTTTTAAATGCTTTAATATTTGTTAAATTTTAATATCGCGTTAGTCCGTTCCTGGACAAACCTAACCTAGAAAAGTCGCTAAAAAATGGCAAAAATCATTCGGCCGTGTTTGAAAGTTTATTTTCTCTTGAAAAGCGAAAAATGCTACGACGGTGCAATGATTCGCAGTGAAGTGTACGTTGTTGACCTTCTCCGGTCCGAAAGGTTGGAATAACTGACCCCGCCGAAGTACATGTAGGTACCATTTATTATTGCCAAATTTATTTTGCTTTACGCTCGCGGTCCGTCGAACGTTGTTTATTTTGGACCGAATTTATAATAACAACGGCCGCATCCGAAACGCAGTTCGATCTTTTGCGCCTTATCCGATCAATCGCGGCGATTTATCCGCATATCTGCGAATTCAGATGCGCAGTATGTTCGGTTTGGTACAACTCCGTTACTGCTACTACCTGACCAAAATCTACGTAAGTCTTTTGCGTGGGAGTGTGTTTTATTAGCATTTCTTGGTGCATTAATTCATGAAGTCGGTGCACTATCAAAGTTGATTAGCGTGACGCAGATTAACGAAGTTTTTCACAAACATAAAGCAAGATTATGTTATTACAGCTGTGTGTGCCATCCATAGATAAAATATTTAAATATATGGTCAACTGCAATTGAAAGAAATTTTTCTTACTTTCCTGCCAACGTGAGTATGAACTAAATTTTACCGCCAAAATATGAATTTTGCGGGAATTCTCGAAGAAGCAGTTATTTATTTATAGACGCGAAAACTTAGTTCATACTCATGAAAATGCATTTTGTTATTAACTTTTACGTAATATACATCAACAAATAACAATAGTAATGTTGCTTTTATCACAATATGGATAATAAAAAAATAATTAATTAATTCAAATAATTTGTGAGGTAAATCTAGAAAACATGTCAAATGAATTTTAATTAAAAAGATCTTGTGCCCATCTACCTATATCTATGAAGGATTTAATAAAAGTAACGACCAAATCAATACATGATTTTCTTTTCTATTTCTAATTGGAAGGATTTCCTATCTCCCTTTGCTTGCCACTGGACTCGACTGATAGGCCTTCATAATATAGCCTCTTCGGTTAAACTGAGTGTACCCTTTTTAATGTTACTTTTATCAAAATTACGGATTGCAAAAAAATACTTATATTAATTGTTGGGCAAAGCTAGAGAATATACTAACTGAATTTTAATTAAAAAAGTTTCAGGAAGTGGCGTATGTCATATAAGCTTGTTTTTCCGTTTGTTTATTTTTATAGGTGTACTTTGAATGTGATGTATTTTTAAATTATAATTAGCGTTGTCTACTACTGCTATTAGAGATTTCTTTTGTAAACTGGTATAAATGTACAAAATATACAAATACAAAATATACATTCGTGATTTCGCGAAAATACTGACAAAGCCTTGATAGGAAATATCTGATATAAGCCCTCATCAATAGCGATGGCATTCTATAAATCACAAAATGCGAGTACTGCACAAAACAATTCTATTTGTATAATAAAAGAATGTTTGTCTTAACACGAGTCTTATCAAATTTTTTACCATATACCATATATAGTATTGACTTATTTTCAAAATTTCTATAGCGTCTTGCTGTTTCTATTTCAACCAATGTTGTTATTGTAAAATATGTTGGGAAAGTGTTTAAAGTGCACCAGAGAAAACCCCTCACAAGTAATAATAAAATTGCGATTTTACTTCCCATATTCGATAATTAATGAAGTAGGAGGTCAAATATGTTAAAATCTAGTCAAACAACGCATATTTAATTTTTTTTTCTTGCCTGCCTTACTCCTTTTTTTTAGTAATATACCAAACCTATTGCTTTTCGTATGGATATTCTTATAATAAAAATTAATTGAATTTTGTTGCCGACTTTGCTCTAATACTAAGCTCATATGGTATAATCTGTTACTCAATACGTAATTTTTATAAATGTCATTGTTTGCAATTTCTTTTTTCTCTAGATGTTGGTGCTTCATTTTTTTAAGTAATGTAATGTCTAAACTTGTTGCTGTGCCACAAGGAAATAGTGGACTGATATTCGAAAGCTGCACACTAGGCTGAGATAAGTTTCACCCGTCGCTAAAAGTCTTAGGGTGCCCATAACTTTATCTTGTCCCATCTTATCTGTCTGGGCTTTTACCAATATTTTGTGACAACTGTTCACGGTCCTTTTTAAATTTTTACCTCGTTTTGACCATTCTTACTTTATATTTTTAAGCCAATGCCTGACCCATCACCTTTTTTCACATTTAAAATGAAGTATTAAGTATCAACACACACATACACATGCATCAGATCTTCATTTAACATTTGGGAAAATTAGTGCCAATTACACGTTAGAATATTTTTTAGCCTATTAGTGAACGAAAACTTTATATAAATTACATTTAGCAGACATTTTCCAGGCATAGGGATATATTTGTGGACGCGATATTCGCAAACGAGCCTGAAATGATTCCCACACTCGCGCAAAAAATCTATAATCTTTATTTTTAAATCCACACTAATATTCCTAATTGACGATCCGATGGCAGTCTCTCAAAAATACCTTTCGTCAAGTCTCGGATGCAAAATTTTTATTTTCGGATTTTCCGTCGCTTTGGTAATTCCACAGACGTCCAATTTAAAAGAGACCGCATTAATTCCTGTTTCTTTCAACAAACAATATGGCCTCTGACAAATCGTCCATGTTTGGATGCTGCATTTTTACTGCAGTATTTCCTCAAAATATGTCGAAACCGTATTAAATTTTCAGGCGAAAAAGGAGTTAATTTGTGGAAAAGCAGTGCAGAATTGCACCCGCGTTAGCGTCAGTATAATTCTGTAATTAATTTGGCGTTTTTGTTCTTTAAGCACTATAGACACAATGCAATTTCTACATGCATTTTTTCATGTACGCCATTTTTTCCGATTTTTTTTTGCTCGCAAATGGGCGCAAAGCATTAGCTTTCATAAACTGATAGGTTTAACCTCTATTGAAATAACATCTAAGTGGAAAAAATGTTCAAGAAGCACCTTTTATAGACAGTAGTTGACAATGGGTACTTCTCATGCTTGTTCTAGTAAAAATTCAACTTGTAGCTCAATAGTTTTCTTATATTTCTACGTAGCTATTTAAGTGTACGTAAAAATATAGGGAATTATGTTTAGTAATTTCTGTAAGCCTCTTTTCCAGTTTTGTTAGATGTAAAATATATAGGAATCACTGTTTCTCTGACGTCCACATATTTGCCACATTTGCTGCAATTTCGTAAAAGAGTAAAGTATTGAAAGCACAGATTATAGTTTGTGAATACGGCACGGAAATATTGACACCAAAAATGAAAACGACAATGGCACCGGGCACAAACTGTTCTGTGACAATAGTAATTACTTATCTCGGCGTTACCAATAATGTTCGGATTTCAGAGATTGATGTTGCGTTCTTGTAAAAATTAATCAATTTCCAGAAAAATTACGGCAATGTAGCAACTCAGACAGTTGGGGGTGACGCATGCGCAAAAGTTCCATACCTTCTCTAAGAAGGGCGCATCAATTTTTACCGTAATAGGGCCACTATATTATCTTATAGCTTATAGGATTATAATGCAACAATACTTAAAGTTTAATAATTATATTATAAATAATAAAATTAAACAAACTTGGCATACAGATAATGCAAACCATATCCGAGGTCTTTAAGCTTTCTTGAACAATCTACTAAGCACAAATAAACAAAGCAAGAAATCAAGCACACCCGCCACTTCGGAACTGTTGTTGTCCTGAAGAACTTCCAACAAACGATGGCCTTTAGACCCGAATCAGGATAACAACTGGCCGAGAAAGTTGTCTAGCGCTTCAAAATTCAAAGTGCCAAGTTCTTTACATTGATAATGGACGAATGATGATAGTAGTGTTGCCCCACTGCTTATTGAACGAAAGAAGAAGAAGCAGTTCTCAGTATTGCGGTACTTATACTACTAGTCTTTGTAACAGCAATATCCGAAAACACCTTTTCCTACTCCCGTTTGTAAAATACCTAATTACACACCGATCTAGCTTGCGGGAAGCGTCACTTTGCCACGCCAGTTTCGTTTCCCACGGATCCGAGCCACCTCGGAGATTTCCGGGATTTTACCGCACGGGTTTGGGAGCAATCGGATGATTTCGGAGATATTTCCCACGCCTTGAATTTGACGTTTGTGACGGTCATGTTAGTGAATGTATTGTTGTTTGGCGAAGATGTACCCAAAAACCAACGGTCGTAGAAAAAGTATAGTATGCAACATATTCGGTAAACTTTTTAAGTCACTCGTTTATTAAACACTCGCTCCGCTCGTAAGTGTTTATTCGTTGCACCGTTGTCAATTGAAACATTGAAAAAGAAAGACATTTCTTACCAACCATATCGCTATTGTTAAAAAAAATCTGTTATTTTATATTAGTATATTAATATATTTATATTAAATAATAATATTTAACGCATTATTAGCAGGAAATTTTGTTAACGTATATTGCGTGAAATTTCTAATTTACCTATAGTTTTGAATATATCAAAATGTGAGTATGTTGTATCAGTGAAAACACCCGCACTTGCCAACATTGTCTCAACTCGTCTAGATATCTGCATCAGTTTAAGATGGAAACAATGTCTTCGATATATATCTATGGGTAATTGAAATAAAATAAAACGCGCAGCCTTTGGTCTTCTGTGTCCCGGACGTTTTTTTTCTTTTCTCTCGATATTCGGATAGACCATAACAAAGACATACCAAAAGCGTATCTCGCTCGTGGTCGTTTTGATTTTTTTCCTGTGCACCACGGTGCTCGTTAATTAACTCAAAATACCCGATTAATCGATTAATTCCGAGTTGACGTTGGCAAACAAAGTTCAACAGCTGTTTCGGAAGAAAGCGCGTTTCTGGAAATAAAATCGGGTATTTTTAGACGGGCACCAAGGTCATGGTTCCCGACGCCTGTTTACGTGTTTGTACACAAGGCGCTTCCCGACGCGCATTTGCCAAATTTGCCTCGTGATTTTATTTCTTAAGTCTACAACGGAAAGACCACAGAATCGAGAACTCAAGCGCAGATGTTTTATCTGGGTAAGAAATTTTAGATAAAGCAATGACGCGTGCTATATAGCATTTCCTTTGTGAAGTTAAGTGAAGTATGGAAAGAACTTCATTATTTGTTTATCTGAATCTTTTTTTTGCTCAAATAAGTAATAGGGAATAGCGGATAATACTAGAGACTAAAAACAAATATATATTTTAAATTTGGGAGTCGTAAAAAGGTGTCCTTGGCGATAATGTAGGGGATGGAACCAAAAGTTAAATTCAAAAATTAATTGAGACATTACTAACCTTTAATTTATTTTCATTTTGTATATACAGAGTGTTTAATTTTTCGTCGGCGAAGATCACCTTTCTTATTTTAACTGGGACGCCTAGAATATTACTTCATTTTTTAATTCTATACAAAATTCTAGACATATTTTGTGTATAATGTCCCATACCTAAGGCTAACCGTTTTCGACATTTTTAATTTTTAATGCGAGAAATGACATTCGCAAGACGTAAAATATCTGCCAGTTTCTTCATTCGGAAGCGTTTATTGTTTGGCTTAAGTTTTGATGTAGATAAAGGACTCGAATAACAGATTTCATAAGAAATTTCGATATATATTAATACAAGCTACGCGCAAAATGAGATTAAAAAAGAAATTAAAAAACTACCAAAAAACTTTTTTTTTTATGAAAACTACTTATTTTTATAGTCTTGTCTTATTTAGTAATTTTGTATAATGTTGTATATACTTAATATTTTTTCTTTTTGAAATATTTCCATTTAAACACAAATAATACATGCTGTTGCCATATAGGTTCAGTTAGTGTAAGGTGGCTATGTTTGAACAAAACAAGTGCTAAAGTGCTGCCACTATGATTAACCATTTCGTAGTTGACCATAATCTTGCCGATGCGCTTATGAAGATCCAAATGTATGTATGCATTATTTATACAGAATAAGACCAAGGATACGCGATAACGTTGGTGAATATTTTATTAACGAACGATCAATAAACAATTAATAGCTTACATTATTGTAACAGTTGTTCAACATATACTCCACTTTGGGCAATACAAGTAGTATAAAGGGTTTCTAAAAACATAATGGCATTTCTAACAGATTCAGTCCCATTTAAAAATCCGTTGACGGTTTGTGTTTGCAAACTAAATGTTTAAGTGTACCCCATAGAAAAAAAATTAGGGGAATTAAGTCGGGGCTCCTTAGAGCCCAAGCGTAACTACCATTCTCCCCAATCCATTCTCTATAGTATGCATTTAAATAGGTGCTAATTTCTTGACTTCTGTGATAAGGAGCGCCATCCTGCTGCCAAATTAAATTTTGTTGTTCCCTTTCAAGCACTTCCTTTTCAACACAGAGATGGATAATATTTAAAAGCTCTAAGTAGCCTTGGGAATTTAATTTCCGATCAAAAAATACTGGACCTTTTATTCAGAACCTCCAAATGGCGCACCATACTTTGATAGAAGTTCTAGTTGATCTTGTAACTTCCATACGTTTTTTTATTATTTTTATTGCTCCAGTAATGGGTATTCTTCCAAATATTAGCACATATATTTTCTGAGTGTCTCTGCATAAGATTGTTGCAAAAATATAACCAGATGTTGTAATCCCGTTGCTCTAATTTCTGCACTGAACAGAATTTATAGGACTTCCAGTTGTTTATTCGAAGGAACGTTCGAAGCGCTGTTCTTTTGATATCTAGATCTAAAGACGCATTTCGGGGATCTTCAGGGGTCTCTGCAAAATGCAACAAAATATTAAGTTGCTCTTCATCATTCAAAATAAGACATCTATCTTTTTCTTTCTTCAAGGTTCCATATATTCTAAAGTGTTAGTAAATTCTTTTTTTAGGGGCGTCTCCTTAAGAGCCCGCCGATATGTAACTTTCTAACATATCTTTTCCTCTGTGTTAAACATGATACGCAAGCAAGCGAAAAAATTAAATTTATAAACAATACATAAATAAATCAATAACGTGTCATATTTTAATTATGACAGTAATCAGCAACAAAACCCGCGTCCAAGAAGGCAGCGTTCTAGCACTTGTTTTGTTTAAACGCCGTCAAAGCACTTTACACTAACTAAACTTTTATGGCAACAGCATATTATTTGTGATAGACAAATGTTTAAAAGGAAATACTTCAAAAAGTAAAAATTGCCTTAATTTGTAATGCTAAATATGAAAAGATTATAAAAATATGTAGTTTCCATTAAAAAAAAACAAGTTTTTTAGCATTTTTTAAAATTTCATTTTTTATCTAAAACGTAAAAAATGGTTAGACTTAGGTATAGGACATTATACACAAAATATTTCTCGAATTTTATATAGAATTCAAAAATGAAACAATGTACCAAGTGTTCCATTTAAAATAAGAAAGTTGATACTCGCTCACGAAAAATGAAACACCCTGTATATACAACATAAAAATAAATTGAAGATCTATAATACTCCAATTAAATTTTGTATGTAACTTTTGACTCCATCCCCTATAGTTTATGAGATAAGGTAAGGTCCTAAGATGAACGGCCTATACATAGTTAACCCAAAACCCAAGTCTATACTAATAATACTACGTTTCACCTTCTTTCCTTCAGTCATAGTTTAATTTAGCTCCATAGTATAGTATATTTTGTACAAATACACATTTTTTACAAATTGTTTGGTATGACAAATGATTTCAAGAAGACATAACGCGGATTTGTATTTCGCAGAAGCCGTTTCGCTTTCTCGTTAATTATTTTTTCCATTGCATTAACCTAGTAACAATAGGTATGAAGGCCATGATTACTTTTTGGGGGAGGGTCCGTCAACAGGCCAAGACTTAAAGATATACTTTAAGTTAGATAATGTTTTGTTTTAGACTATGCCTACCGAGTGTATAACGAACCCCCTCCAAAGGGAGCTGGCGGATTCCATCATTCGAATGGTGCCGCTCGACGATATCAGGATCTTGCTCGCCTGCGGAGCCAAAGTACGTATAAAAAAACAATCTGCTGCTGTCATAATACGCGCGTAATACATAATAATACCACTTCAGAAAGGCCATTTATTTATTTACGGTTTAACCAATTTACAAAACTGTTACATTCATTGAAGGCAAAGAGAGAGAAAGACAGCATTATAACAGCCAGAAACCACAACAAAATATAACAATAACAATAAATAGAATTAAGCTTTAGACAGTTGCACTCTTTCAGCATTCTAGTAATGAGTGAATAAACTCCATAATTTGCGCGCTGGAAAGGTATGCGAAACATTGAGTTATCACAGTTTCTGTAATATGCGTTAAATTGTATGCTATGTAAAAGAGCTGGACCATAATACCAACCATTCATAATCTTCAAGAGAAAACCTAATCACTCTGAAATCTTCTGGTTTGAAGAGTATCAATATTGAAGGCCTTAGTTATAACACTGTGGTTGATACCCATTATACCACAAATGCATACTCCAGTGCAGAGCGAACCAAAGAGATATAAATGAGTTTAAAGCAATGTGGGGTAAGTTGGTCAATATTGCGTACAACAACCTAAGGACTCGCATAGACCTGTTTACCACTTCCACAAAACTTAGCTTAGAATCGAAACAAACACCTAAGTCTTTAATATTAGTGACGGCCTCAATCTCGGCGCCATCAATGCTATATCGGTTGTGAACCATACTTAACGAACGACTAAAACTAATACTACAGCATTTTTTTTTACATTGAACGCCAGACTATTAATCTTGGACCACATGCAAACACTGTCCACGTCCCTCTGAAGCAGCAGACTATCCTCGCGCGACCCAACCCTCCTGAATATGTTTAAATCGTCCACACTGCGAGTCCGACACTACACTAACAATATCATTTATAAACAAGTTAAAAAGGATGAGTCCAGTATGAGAACCTTTGGGGACTCCCGAAAAAATATCAAGTTTACCTGAGAAACTATTAATACGAACCAACTGAGTACGACCAGACAGGAAACACTGAATCCACTGCACCAGTCCAACCCCCAGGCCCATAGCTCTAAGCTCAGTGTAGGCACAATCCACCTGACCAAACTTCCTCAAAGGCGTGCAATAAAAATTGTTGGTAGATGAGTAAATTTGTTACGGTACATCTACCCTGTACAAATCCATGTTGTTGATAAGCCAAAATTTCCCTGCAAAGATTAAAGAGGCAGGACAAAACTAGAATGCAATATTTTCTTGTTTTCATATATTTTGTTCAGAAAGACTCACAGGGAAAATTAAAATCTACTGTATTCAATTTATTCATGCATGACGCAACATTGTACGAAAATACTCGCCTAAAAACAATTTTTGTATGTTATGGTACTGTCAATATACCAGGCCTCTGGAGATTTCTGTTGTGAACTTTAAAAGGTATGAATGAATATGGCCACGATACCTTCTCAAAATAATTTCTAATATTGTGATAATTACCCGTAAATGTTTGGTCCAAAAAGGTCAATGAACCGGTCACCCAAGGTCTAACCCCCCTCCACTACGCGGTCTGGCAGAAGTATTACGAGGCGGCCCAATTGCTGCTCACGCGAGGTGGTGACGTCAACGCGACCGACGAATGCGGTTACAGCGCGCTTCATTTGTCTGCCGAACATGGGTAAGGGCCCCTATTTCAAGGTTATGTTTCGTTTCTTAACGCGAGAGAGTAATAAAGTGCAAATTTGCAACGACACGGATCATTAAATTTCAGTTTTTAAGGCTTGCATCTCTCCAATCGTTTCTAAATTAAGATCACACTAATTTGTATACAATGGAAAGACAAGTTTGGCGAATGAAAGTAATGTGATACCGGATAACAATAATTATACATGATTACAATTATAAAGGTGGGCAGAAAATTGAAATATTAGCTAAGATCAAGCAAATAAAAACTTGTATAGAAGTAAAAATAATATGAAAATGAATAAATTATAAAATACATTTTCATTTATAAATTTTAGTCATCATGTTCTTACCAGTCAGACGAATTATTCTGGATTCTTCCAAAAATAACCAAAACTGAAAACACATTTCTCATTAGTTGTAAGTTGTTGTAATCTTCAGAAGTTTCTTTTGTACCATATCTTGTTGAAATTGCTTCTTATTTAAAATAAGCCAAGATGTGAATATTTTTTCGCATTTTCTCGAGTGACATTGGCATATTATCCATGACAGACAAAGGAGGGATAAGATCTAGCATTTTCTGAAAGAAGGCTGCACAATATCAGCATTCTTGTCTTTATGACTGTCTCCAGTTCGTTTTGATCGAAACAACAATTCCATTTTTGCTACCAACGGAGTGCGTTTATCCTTGACCTACCCAGATAACAGATATTCCTATTTTCCCCATTTCGTCTTTTTCTATTAAAAATTAATTTCCTTCAGAGTTTTCCCATGCGTCGAATGAAATCATCCGTCACTTCAGACATTATATTGTCCAAAGTAGGTATTTTTTGATTTTATTATTCTTCTGACGATTTATTATAGTTTCCTTTCTTCCTCCTACTTTTACTTTGATGATCCGATGATATTTTCAAAAACGAACTCGCCAACAATCATCAAAAAGTAACCATAATTCTAATTTTAAACACTAAAACACTCTCTGCACCCTTGAAAATAATCGTAGGTACAATATTAGCCTTTTGGAGAGCCGTAAGTTTTACTCTTTCGCATCAAGAAACAGAGCATAAGTACTCCCTATCCTTTGCTTTTCAACAGCAGAAATCAGTGCCGTAATTTGCGCTTTTTATTCAGATACCAAGAATTCGTTCGTCTGTTGTTAAAATCGGGCGCCAAAGTCGACTACCGCCCGGACACCGACGAGGATTTTCCTCGTACCACATTGTGCGACGAACCTCTGAGACTCGCCATTCGCAACAAGCACATGCACATTGCGAGAATGCTATTGGAACACGGCGCGGATCCTAACAAACGATATTTTTTTGGATCCGAAATCAACCTTGTTACGGACCTGGAGTTCCTCGAACTCTTGTTGACGTTTGGCGCAAACCCGGACAGCAGGGACAGGTCCGGCCTGACTCCGCTGATGAAGGCTGTCAGACAACCGCAGGTTAATAACATAAATCGCCTTACCATTGTAAACTAATCGGTGCAAAAATCCACCAAAATTAATAAAAGGGGGCGTTTTGCCCTTATGTTGTTATTAATAGATATATAGAATTTTATTTCACTGAATTACAATACATTATAATACATAGTATACACCATGTCCAAGTACAAAAGGAAAAAAAATACAATTATATCCATATAGTCATGTTAATTGTAACCAAAGTTTTCTAAAGTTATTTTAGTTTTTGCACTTTCTTTTTGACTGACGTTACGGTAAAAGGTTATCACATGAAACATGAAAACTTAACAAGTAATATGGCGCAATTCTCTTGTTAGCAAATGAAAGAAAAAGCAGGAACAAATTAACAAAATGGGAGACAGCAGATATATACAAGCACCTGGTAATGACTGGCAACGTGGCAAAAAAGATTATATACATTGTGCACAGCTAAGATCCAAAGAATATGAAAATTTCTGTAAAGAAATATACAAACTGCTAAAAAGATATTAAAGAAAATTTTAGATAATAAAAAAGATGTCCATGTATTTGTTTTTGAAAACATTTCACTAGCGGAACTGTTAATGCGTAGAAAATTAAGCAATAACATTATGATAACCAAATCTGCTTCAAAATCTATAAATAAATATTTTATTGCTCAAAATCAAGAAATAGAGAAAAAGTATTATAATAAAACAAAGATAATATTACCAGAACTTCATGTTAACGCAAAAAATTAAGGACAAAAGCAACCAAAGACTTCCTCGTGTTATATTAGATAAAAAAATTCTTTAATTGTAAAGGGGAAGGAAGTTGTTATGAGCAAAAGATCGGAACAGGAAATTAGGTACTACATAGGGCTTGAGAGGGAGAGGAAGGATATGGATGCAAGACCGAAAATAAACAAGAAACTTGGAATGGAAATTGTACTAGCGCGTCAAATCTTATAACGAAATCATTAAAATTGCTGTAAAAAATCTGATGTTGATAGAAAAGTTACTAGAAACGTTTACATAACTTCTTCTGGAAGAATTTCTAAACCTCCGTTCAAGCTTGAGTAGTTGCCACTGTTGAAAATTAATTTAAGTTTATTGTAAATATTACTCTTAGGAGAAAAAATATAGGGTAGAATGTAAGGAATTTAAAAGGAAGAGGAATGCATAACGCAACACATTGTGTATTCATGTAGCTAAAGCTTTTAATTAAATTATCTTTATTTAATAAAACAATTAAATAGCAAGTAATAAATAAGGTTTCTGGCAAAGGTCCTTTTACTTTGGAAATAATGCTCCTGAATTAAGCACCACAAATTAGGAATTAAAAAATGATTTTGGCTTCCCGCAGCGGCACTAGCTCGTTATTATCATATATTTTGCATTTTTGAAAAATCAAGAGGGAAATAAATGTCTGCTACAAAAATTTACTTTCAAATCACTGGTCCAAATAGGTAATGACTACAATGACTACAAATGACATCTTTGCTATAAGGAAGTTAGATGTCTATGTGCCAGATGTTTTGTACCATAAAAATAAAGAAACTAGTCAAATAAAAATGTTTAAAAGGTGACAGTTTAAGTGCAATGAACTAACAAATTTTTATCATACCACCTACGCTAGAATTTGATCGGGTAACAAGGGAAAACGTTATGATAACAAATAGACGATAAAGTATAACCACAGCAAAACAAAAGGTGCAAAAAGTCTCTAATATAGCAATCCGTGAGCTACAGCAAAGTTTAATTTTCTGGCGCCAGGTAGCAGGAAATTTCAACGAGGACAGTTGCCTTGAAATTTTAGAGAAAAGTAACAAATATGCAATACCTCCTAATTAAATCCAAATACAAGTGTTAAAAAATATAATATCAAATTTGAAAATAAAAACTGTAAAAATAACCTCGTGGAGTCGGATTATACCAACGTTTTCAATCTTTTCATTTTCGATGTCAAAGAAGCAAATATCAAAAACGCGATTGCACTGACCAACCCCTAAAGAATACCTTCACAAGTTACTAAATATCACTAACCGAAAAAATGATTTAACCTCACCCTGTGCTGATTATCCGGATTATTTTGTCTAAGTGAAGTTTGTAAAACCGGAGTTGCGCTGCGGGCATAGTATAAGGGATTTGCGATTATTACATTAGATACTCTTATTTTTAGGGCATGGAAGCCGTGCTGTTGTTACTAAAGTACGGCGCCGACGTCAACGCAATGGCCGACGAGCGACACGACTACAGAACCGTAATAAGCATTTATTCGAAGGGGGTAATTTCACTAATAAATTTCCCTTTCAGGTATTACATTACGCCGTTTTGTCCGGCAACATCGAAATAATAAATCTAATTATTAAGCAAGGGGCTAGATTAAACTACGAAGAGGAATATAAGTTGGAGAAGCCCAGTCCGTTGGACCTCGCCATTTTGAAAGGCGATCCTAAAATCGTGGAACTTCTGATAAGATCGGGTAAGGGACCAAATTTAAATTAATTAGAATGTCGGGGTATTTTTTCTATTTTTTAGGTTCCGATGTAAATTCTAGCTCTCCGATAATTGGATCGCCTCTACACGTGGCTTGCGCTGATAATATAGCAAATAGATACGAAATTCTGCAGGTACATTTTTGACAGTGTGTTGTGTTATGTGGTTTTATTTCATATTTGTATGCTGTGGTTGGAAGAGGAAGATAGGTATAACCTCAATACTTTAATTGTACAAAGAAAAATATTTCAGATGCTATTGACTGCCGGTGCGGATCCAAATTTAAAAGTTTTCAACGACGAGTTCGACAGAAATTCCCAACTCAGGCCTGTCCTGGTCGAATACATCGCGAGCAACGACAGTCCGAGCCTAGCCGTGGTCAACTTATTAATAAAATATGGAGCAAAGGTAGTTTATTACAGATAAAAATATTACATTATAAAAGGGTTGGAAGATAAACTTCGAGTATCTTTTTAGGTGATAATGAAGACGCAGTTTAGAGATCCAGACGGTATGTTAAATTCCCTGCAGAATGTAGTAACGAACGATTCAATTTTCTTCTTGCTACTGGAAGCGGCTGAGTCGTTCGATCCCTGCATGATTCGTAGGAATCAGGTGATTGATCCCAAGCAGAAGGCTAAGATGTTGGAACTCGCTAAATTCCCGCTGACGTTGAAAAAGCAAATTCGTATGTACCTCAGGAAGATCTTGGGCACCAAACTGCTACAAGCGGCTGGCAAATTTGAACTGCCCAGATGCTTGGGGAAATATTTGCTTTTCGATTATAGCTAGGGAACGGGGCGATAGTCCCGACTACGGTGATCAATTTTTTCGGTGATATTTTCTAGTATTGGTATCTTTTGTGGTACCGTTTTCAAACTAGAATCGTCGAGGGCGACAAATTTCACGATTGACCACTTACAGTGTCGTTTTCTACTAATGAAGTTCTAATAACATTTTTGATTCATCTAACTGTGTGTACTGTTGTCCTTTTAACAAGAGTTACCAGAAGAAATAAGTGAAACTAACATGATGATTAACCCTTATTATTCTTAACGAGATTTTTTTGAATTCTAAGTCTAACTTTTGACCAAAACACTGCAGACCACTTACTATAACTAATATTGTCTTTATTTCTGCTAATAATGCTTAAATCAATATAACAAAGATGACTGCAATAACAAATCTTAAGATTTCCTATCGGACTGTTCAAACTACTAAGCCCTATGGAAGATATTCAACAATATAAAAGTGTGTATTACAGTATATCTGTGTTTATTTAGGAAATTAATATTCTACATTTTTCTCTTTAATTTTATCTAACACCGACTTAGTTCAATTGGACCTATTATTTTTCGTAACTAACTATATAAACTAACTACACGCGCACGCAAACTAACCAAAACTAATTCCTGTAATTGTGATTACTAATAATAAAACTTAGACGTAACTGTTTACCGGTTAGCAACTAACCTATAAATAACAGAACTAAAAAAGTGGTCGCACCAACGAAAAATCTAAATTCGGACTAGTATGTGATTTATTACAAACGATTCCTTGCCATTGGTATTAACTCGATTTAGAATATTTCTTTACCTATAAACGTTATTTTTTTAGTCGTAATTTTGTATATTTTTATCCTTGTATTTGCCTATTTGTAATGTGGAATATAGAATAACAATACGTACGTGTGTTCTTTCGTCGTTACAATGCTTTCCTGCCCTGAGAACAAATTAAATTAAACTGTAGTTCAAACGTGCGGTGCGATATGCTCGCTCGACAAATTAATCCCATAAAATTTCTTTGATCACCCCGAAAAAAGTTATTTGCTGCTGTTGTCTATAAATCCCGATAGACAATTTCTGCATATATTTTTAACAGACAAAAAATGCATGGGCTGGCAAATCTTTGATTTGATAAACACGATGTACCTAATTATTTCGATCAAAATTGGGTTGATCAATAATTTTTTAAATTTAAATTTTTATGCAATACATGAGTCTTTCGGACTTCTTTAGTGTTAAATGGCTAAACTTTATGCATGCAAAAATGTTTTTACCATGCATATAATTACTTCTGAGTGTATAAAGAATATTTATATTCCCCATACTAGAAACAAGAGAAATGAGGTTGTTTGTTTGTTTGTTTTAAGGCTAATTTCGGTTACATATTAAAATACAGTTTTTTCACACAAATTGTTTATTGACTTGTTTTATAATTTTTAATTTTCTTGGTTATATTTTTCAAACAAATTCTTCATTGATACTTTTTAAAATCATATATACTACGACTTGCGATGAAGGGAAAAGCGTTCTGTCCGGTTTTATAGTTGATTTTTGAACATTTTTTCAGTTGTATTTAGACTTTTAAAAGTCATTTTTGATTTCGATTTTATTTACATTTTTTAGAGAGGTTTAATATATAAATTTATGAAAACAAACGCCTTGCGCCCGCAAATTCAAGAAGAAATAGTTGGTAATTTTATCTGCCAAATTTCTTACAATTCTGTAATCAACATATTGCAATATTTACATGAAAAAATAAGTGCCGAAGTTCATCTACAAATTGCATCGTGTCGTCGTGATTGACTTTTCCAGACGTAATTTTGTATATTTGTATCCATGTATTTTGTCGATTTGTATTGTGGAATTTAGAATAACAATATTAGACCCGAGAACAAATTTAATTAAACTGTAGTTCAAACATGGAACGCGATACGTTCGCTCTACAACTCAACCGATCAAATTACTATGGCAACGATGAAAAAATAACGTGCTGACAAGTTGTGCTGTCAAGGGCGTGACCAATTAAACATCCGCGTGTAGTTGTGATTTTAGAAAACGAATCGGAAAAGGCAATAAGTTGGATAAAAACAAACAATAAGAGATTAGCGGATAAATGTGCGCCAATAAAAGGAAAAGTCATTGGCTTTTATCGATCACGACAGACTGCGCGCCTAGACGAAGGTAGGTTAAGTTTTCGTGTAAATATTTACTCGCGTGCGTTTGCCTCGACAATATAAGCAAATTTTTATAGAAATGCCGTCGCTCCGGAAACGCGTGTCGAGCTATTTAAGACAACTGAGCTTCCACAATGAGCCCAGAGATAAGAGGAATAACGTCAACGAGAACGCGTTTGTGACGAAGTACTTGCAAGGGTAAATTTTAGCCGAAGGGTGAACCGCTGGATGAATCTTATTTGCATTGAATTCCAATTGTTATCATTAGGTATATTATTGCCCACACTAAAAACATTATTTTCACAGAATTGCTTACCTTGAAAACCAGCCACTTTTTAAAGTTCAGAAGTTTGCATCTTAAAAACAGAGCAGTGGCTGACAGACCTAAGTTTATATTATCAACATTTTCTCTTACAACAGCAGCACTATATATGAACTTTCTGCCTTAAAATTGACTAAGGGACAATATCTTTATTAATATATCTCTTTCGGTGTCGTTTCTATAAGTTAAACAAAAGTATTTGATATTACATAGTGTTGTGGAATGGACTAGTCGATTTTTTTATCGCTTGTCTGAACTGAATTACGGACAATAATGAGATAAACAAGGACATTCAATATTTTATTTTATTTAAAGTATATAACTTGTTATGATTGCAGCCTGACATGAACTTTGTTTTTATTTATTTATACAGTGAACCGCCAAAATGGGTGATAAATTCATTTTAAAATGAAATATTCTTTTCTTTTCCTTCTTATGCGCATTTTTGACAGTAAATAGAAAATATTTAAGTTGCATATTTCCATCATAGGTTTCCAAAACTGTAGTCTGCGGTCATGGTCATCTTCCTACAGTTCCTGTGGTGTAATGTGTTCATTTTCTATTATTGTTATTTTTTAATACCTTGGAAGATGCAATATGCGAAATCTCCTCAACTTCTCATTAGTTTTTGGATATTTTCCGTTAAACAAATCGTAAACTTCCTATTGAGTTCTCGGATTATCTCAATATTCAATAAAAATTATTATTTCAATTCTGTGCCGACAAAAATGTAATTGTAACAATGTAAAAACTTTACTGGTACTATAGCCACTCGCCGTTCATTTCAAAATGAAATCTCCGTTTTTTATTCTTTTGCTCATGAAAGTAAGGAACTTGGTATCGGTATCTACCTTTTGCCCCATTCTGTATATTTTCTGTTTACTGCACAAAATGCGCGATGCGAATATTTTTCTCGAAATTCAACACCTGATTTTTAAATGAATTTGATTCATTTTTTTGCGGTTCACTGGATATCGACGGGCAATTGCCCAATACAAAAAAGTATGAAATGTAAAAATTACTAAAAAATACATATAATAATAATAATAATTAATATAAAATAATATTTACATTATGCATATGTGACCAACTTACAACTACAACTTACAATTTATGAGATAATATACATGGCCTCTAATAAAAAGTATGTAAATTTGATATAGTATGCTTTTTTCTTATACCTTGTATATAAATATTTATTATTAAATAGTACCGCTGTTGTATAATTTTTTTTAATAAAATGTACAATAAAAAAGTTGAATTGAAATTGAAAAAATGAATAATAATAAATTTCGTTAATTCATCCGCTTTAACTTCGAATATGGAAAAAAAATACAAAATAGCTTTTAGCTACACTTTTTGCTGTTTTATCGACGATCACAATATTAGCAGATTAGAATAATTCATAATGTCACGTATAAAGAACCAATATTAAGGTATTTAAAAAGGTGTAACACTAATTAAAAAATATATATACCTAAGGTTTCACCTACATTTTTGGAGGTAATCAAGAGTCCGTGACTTTTTTACTCAAATTGTACAGCTTTTTCTGCAGTTCTCAGTTTTCTCATAAATGAATATAACTTTCTTATTTTATATGCCAATCATAGTTGGCTACGGTTTTAAAAATATCTCCGTGTCGAGCCATTTTAGCCATATAGATTTGTTGGTATCTGTTCGAAAATATGTCACATAGAAACTTTTAAAATGAATTAATAAACACAGGAACCTTAGAAAAGATAATCCCAATTTAAAATACCTTAAGTAAAAAGCATGAAACCTTTAATACTTTAATTTTAGGTATTATTTTTAATATTTTTGATTATTTGGGAATCAAAATAATAGTTATTTTAACCTAATAAATAAAACAATAAATAATAGAATACCAAATATTAAAATTTAACTGTTTACATTAAGTGTGTTCAATTAAATAGTAAGTGTTCAAATAGTGCGCCGAAATCTTCAATACACTGAACACACTTTTTTCGTGCTGAATGGCAACTGTTTACTAAATCTATAGAATTGAGAGAAGCAAACGCTTCCCCAGTAGCTTCTTCCGACTCTTTGGTTTGGAAGCTTCTATGTCTAAATATCTTCTAATCTCCACCAAAAAAAAATCTAGAGGAGTAGATCACACGATCTCGCAAGCCACAGAATACGGCCTCTAGTTCCAATTCTCTCATAAGCGGGGCAAACATCTTACTGATAATTTACTCCTTCCATGAATTAATGGCAAGTCTACCAAAAACGAAACAACACATGTTCGCCAAATATTTATAAAACTATCCCTATCAGATTTTCGTTAAGAAAAATAATATCTCACAAATCTACCTCCGAAAATTCCAACCCATACATTGAATCCAAAGCGACCTTGCCAATTTTGATACACTAGATTTTCTGTGCTCCCGCGGTAAAAATTGTATCCGTTAAATATTCCGCTTCAGCACTCCAAACAATAGACAATGTAAAATTAATGTTCTCAATGCATTTTCCGATAAACCAAAATGAATTTACTTTTTTTTAAAGTAATCAAAACCTTAGTTTTTGCAGAATTTGTTGGTCAGCTAGTGCCTGTGAAGATATGCTTGAAGTTTCCAATACTTCTCCAAATATATGCAATTCCCAGATTTCCTAATCTTCATTTAAGTCGTTTCGATTTTGACTTTGCTTTTTCAAACTTCCGCAATCAGTTAAATTATTTTTTAACGTCCGAAATATTCACTTGTCTGGTTGGTGTCGCTGTGGATAGGTATTGAAATAAACTTCATTGGCAGTGGGACAAAATGTATCACTTTTCATACATTTCAAATTGCGAAATGAACTAAAAGCTTAAGTTTGCTCACTGAAATTATGTGTGATTATGTTTAATAATGTTATTATCTGAATCCAAAATTGTTATCAATAAAAAAGTTATGGGCGATTTTCAAAAGGGCCAAAGATTGAAATAAGTTGGTAGTGAAGATATCGCCATGCGGCTTTAAGCGTCAACCATTATACTCTATCTAGTTCAGAAATTGGTTTTTCCTGTTAAAACACTCCAATAACGACCACCCTGTATAGGCTAACTAGACAAATTAATTTAAATTGGCATCAGCGGTTTACCACTCGATGTTAGCAAAATTTTCACGTGCGACAGCGGAAATACCGTTTGTTTTTCAGGCTGATTAATTTAAAAGAGAGCCCTCCCATAATCTACGGCAAAAATCCGACCGATTTACCTAGCTACGACTTGGGTAGATATGACAGCGGGTCGAGTTCCATTATCGGTTGTTACACGGGCCCCAACGGCGGTTTAACCACTGTCAAACGGACAGAGAAGCATCTCTGCATTCCTGACGACGACATCGACTTCATAGACACGCACGAAGACGAGCCAGGTATGTTATATTTTCGTTA